ATCACTTTGAAGTGCTTCCCAGAACTCATTGAAAATCACTGGGGTCATATCCAGGCCTAAATCACTCATATTCTGTCCTGAGTAAACCTTTCTCTCTCTTTTTTTTTTTTAAATATTTATTTATTTATTTGAAAGGCAGGATGACAGAGAGAGAGAGAGGGAGAGAGAGAGATCTTCCACCTGCTGGTTCACTCACCAAATGGCTGCAATAGACAGGACTGGGCCAGGCTGAAGCCAGGAATCTGGAACTCTAACAGAATTTCAACCATGTGGAAGGCCTCCTACTTGAGGCCCAGGTATTTGGGCCGTTATCCATTGCTTTCCCAGCACATTAGCAGGGAGCTGGATCAGAAGTGGTGCAGCCATAACACCAGCCCCTGCCCTGAGTAAACTTTACATTAACCCTTTCTTACAGATCCTATGTATTTTTCTCAACTCTACAGTATATATGTTGTGAAAATGAGGTTGGGCGGTGAATAGTAGATGGAGTTTTATGCCTTTGTATCTCAGAACTGCAGAGAGCTGACTCAGGTCTGCAGAGGGGAAGAAGTGGGGCCAGCGCTGCACCATAGCGGATAAAGCCACTGCCTACAGTGCCAGCATCCCATGTGGGTGCCAGTTCAAGTCCTGGATGCTCCACTTCCGATCCAGATTTCTGCTATAACCTGGGAAAAGCAGTAGAAGATGGCCCAAGTCCTTGGGACCTTGTGCCTTCCTGGGAGGCCTGGAAGAAGCTCCTGGCTCCTGGCTTCAGATTGGTGCAGTTCCAGCTGTTGCGGCCATCTGAGGAGTGAACCAGCAGATGGAAGACCTCTCTCTCTCTCTCTCTCTCTCTCTCTCTCTCGGCCTCTCTGTAACTCTGCCTTTCAAATAAATAAATAAACAAACAAACAAAAAAGCAACTCTTAGCCATTGTTGACTTAATAAACAATTAGAGTCTGGTTAAAGAACAAGAGTTAAAATTTATTCAGATAGTGAAATTGAGGATTTAAATCAGGAAACAACAAGTCAGTTGCCTGAGTTGGCTGATAAGCAAGTTTGTGTTTGGTTGCAGATTTTACACTTTTCTTAAAGGATGGGTACATGCACTGAATCAGGTTTAGATAATAAAGATTTGTGTGTGGTTATCAATGACATTGACAATCAAAGACTATCTCGTTGAAAATAGAAGAACACTTGGCAATAGCCAACAGACTCATTATCAATTAAAGCGAGTACATGACTACATTCCCACACTGGATGTTACTTATATGCAGAGAGGCAAACAATTTTTTAAAAAGATTTATTTATTTGGAAGGCATAGTAACAGAAAAAAAAAAGAGAAAGAGAGATCACCACAGGTTCATTCCCCAAATAGTTGTAACAGTTGGGGCTGGGCCAGGCTTAAGCCAAGAACCAGGAACTCCAGCTGTGTCTCCTACTTGAGTGGCAGGAATGCAAGTACTTGAGCTATTATCTGCTTCCCAGGGGCACTGGCAAGGGAGCAAAGTAGCAAAGTAGGCGGGACTCAAACCAGCAGTTATCCCAAGTGCCACAGTACCACCTCAACAATCAAGTTGTTGATCACTCTTACTAACAGCCCTAGGACATAAAGATTGAGCCTCCTTAAGGTACAGTAGCTGTTTCCTTAGTCACAGTTAGTTACCTGGGAGACAGCCACAGGTCGTCTTAACAGCACAGTTGAATGACTCAGGCTGACTTACATCCTCAAGGTCACATCTCCATTCTTAAACTTGTGCAATCCCAAAGGAAGTCAAGAAGGGACCAAGTTCAACTTCCAGGGCCTGTCTGTGCCAGCTCATGTCACAAAAGTGCAGAGAAGCTTTGCTTTGTAGGAAAAGGAATGACCAAAGTGTTGGATGGGAGGACCTTCTCCTTGACTTTTTTTTTTTTTTAAGATTTATGTTATTTATTTGATATAGTTACAGAGAGAGGTAGAGACAGAGAGGTCTTCCATCTGATGGTTCACTCTCCAATTGGCTGCAGTAGCCGGAGCTGCGCCGATCCAAAACCAGGAGCCAGGAGCTTCTTCCGGATCTCCCATGGGGGTACAAAGACCCAAGAGCTTGGCTCATCTTCTACTGCTTTCCCAGGCCATAGCAGAGAGCTGGATCGGAATTGGAACAGCCGGGGCTCGAACTGGCACCCATAGGGATGCCGGCACTGCAGGCGGCCGCTTTACCCGCTATGCCACAGCGCCGGCCCCCATAATCACTTTTTAAGTAGAATTTATGTCATCTTAGGTATCATAAACACTCTTGAGATGAGAGTTTCTGGGGGGCTGGTGTAGGTTCTGTGCAAATACCCCATTCCTTTTATATACAGGCCTGAGCTTCTGCAGGTTTGCACCTCTCTCGCAGGGTGCTGAAACTTTGCTGCTCATCTGAGGTCATTGCGGCGGTACCGGTGGGACTGGGCGCGGGATCGGAGTGTGGCCGGCGGGCGGCCAGGCGGCAGCGGCATTGGTCTCTCCCGGGCGGTGGTCGTGGGTGCAGGCCTTGTCGGTTGACTGCGAGTCCGCTGGACCCTTGAGCGGCTTTCCCTTTCCCTGCCCATCGGAAGCCCGGAGCTGGGCCTGCTCAGCCGGCGTCATCATGACCAGGGCCAGTAGCAAACAAATTGGACGGCAATGAGCCTGACCTGAGCCTCAGCGACCTGAATGAGGTCCCCGTGAAGGAGCTGGCCGCCCTCCCCAAAGGCCATCGCTCTGGATCCGTCCTGAAATAAACTCAGTACGCTGCCGTCGGATTTCTGTGGCCTCACACAGCTGGTAGAGCTGGGCCAGGAACAAACTACAGCAGCTGCCAGCAAGACCTGGCCAGCTGGTCAACCTCCGGCACCTGGCTCCCATCAACGGGCTGGTCACCCTGCCTCTCAGCTATGCTCACCTCCAGAATCTGAAGCGGAGGGACCTGAAGCGTAACTCCCTCCCCTTCTTGGATCCTGTCCTGGCCAAAGTGGCAGGGGGTTACTTGGATGAGAAGCAGTGTGCAAACAAGGTGTTACAGCACATGGAGGCCCATGCAGGCAGATCAGGAGCGGGAGAGGCAGCGGCGGCAGGAAGGAGAGCACAGGTAGAGAGGAAAGAGGCAAAGCGACGAGCTAAGGACGCTCGGGAGCTGGGGGTGCAGAAGTGCGAAAAGGCAGAGGAGGAGGAGCGTCGGAGCAAGGAGTAGGATGCCCTCAAAGCAGCCAAGCAGGAGCAGGAGAAACCTAAGCAGCTGGAACGGCGCTGTGGTGTAGCGGGTAAAGCTGCCACCTGCAGTGCCACTATCTCATATGACCACCGGTTCAAGATCCGGCTGCTCCACTTCCGATCCAGCTCTCTGCTATGGCCTGGGAAGGCAGTAGAAGATGGCCCAAGTGCTTGAGCCCCTGCACCTGCGTGGGAATCCCGGAAGAAGCTCCTGGCTTCAGATCTGCCCAGCTCTGGCCATTGCGGTAATCTGGGAAGTGAACCAGTGGATGGAAGACCTCTCTCTCTCTCTCTCTGCCTCTGCCTCTCTGTAATTATGCCTTTCAAATAAATAAATATTAAAAAAAAAAAGAAACCTAAGAAGGAAACAAATCAGGCCCCAAAATCTAAGTCTGGCTTCTGCTCCGCAAGCCACCACCCCGGAAACACACTTGGTTCCTGGGCTGTGTGGCTGCTACTGTGTGTGGCAGGTGGGCTGGTTGCCAGGTGACAGCTGCCATGGCGTTTTGGTTGTCACACTAGCATCCAGTAAGTAGAAGCCAGGGATGCTCCAACACATCCTGCAGTGCCCAGGACAGTCTCCGACCACAGAGAAACATGCAGCCTTCACAGTCCAGTGCTAAATCGAGAAAGTCTGATTCAGAAAAAAGGAAAAGCTGTCCCACTCCTTGTCGGCACGATGTCCTTAGCAGCCACCTTCAAGGAACAGCTCTGCCTTCCTGACAGAGCACGAAGACTCTTACCTGATGAACTTTAATGGGATTAAGATTTTTTTTTTTTGAAAATTACCCATCCCTCTCCCCCAGAGAACTGTCAATGAGGTTATTGAACATTAGCTTTTTCCTTTTTGGATTTCATGTCATTGTGATGACTCCTAAACATTCTATTTTTCTATAAAGATGTCTCCACCAGGAATGAATTTCAATTTGGTTAGCTCTAAGCCTTCCCCTTTGTAGCAAGTTTGAAATAACTTAGACCTAAAACTTAGTCCTAAGTGCTTATAGCTAAATCACCCTGCATTTTTTCTTGTCTTTTTTCCCTGAATTCTTTTCTTTGTTTGCAACATTTAAGATAAAAGTCTTTGTAGTTTACTGCATTACATTTTTTCCTTTTAATAAAATTAAAGAACCAGACAGTGCTACAAGTGTGACCATTACAGGATTCATGAAATTACAGTGAAAAGGTATTGTGAATTCTTGTGCATATTTGGTTTTAAATACTATAAATGACCAGGAGGCTCCCCTGCCTACCAGGGCCATTGGTAGCCACAACCTCTCCACTCCTCCTCTGTGGTTATCCTGACCAAGTTCTCTCTCCAGCCACACTCAGCTTGTGAAAAACTCCTTGCAGGGGCTGACTTTGGTGCAGCAGTAAAGATGCCATTTAGGAGGTCCCCTTGCAGGATCAGGGCCTTGCCTTGTGCAGCCGAAGACCTGGGACAGAGGTGTGTGGACCCACGGGAGAGGAACGTGCCCAGGGTCTCAGCGGGGTTGGCACTGAGGGTCCTTGTGAAGAACTCTTCCTTCAGGGGCACCCACAATCGGCCACCTAGCATGTTCCAGATCTTGATGATGTACTGTGCAGGCACAGACCCACTGAACAGCCACAGAAGTGAAGGGGGGGGGTAACTGATGCCCCAGAGAAAGCCAAGTGGAGGGATGATGAAAGGTATGAGAGCTTGGGCTGAACCGTTCACTCAGATGTGTAAGCGTCCTGGGTGCTCAGTGCCTTCTTTAATCAGTAACCAGGCCTGCCCAGTGCAAACCAGGGAAGCAGGTTAACGTCTCTGAGAGGACACAGACAGTTAACGTGAAGGTTTCTTTATTTCTGACCATTTCTTTATAAACATCCACACAGGGATAACTCCCACATATACCTCCCAAGCCCAAATCCCCCTCCATTTACAACTAGTAGGTTGCACCTCCCACAGAACAACAACCCCAGTGAGCAACTGCTCTCCTCCCCTCCCCCCCCCACCACTTTGCTTCTTCCTGCTCACACTAAGCAGGGATCTGAAACCGTGGTGCACGTCCCCCCACGATCCTTACACCCTGAGCTTCGGTGTGCACACGCCCAGAATGAGGTGTGGACCCTTAGACAGGCATGTAGCAGGAGCACAGGATGGGTTCTGGGTCGTAGAAGGTCCTGTCGCCACAGTGAGGACAGGGGTTGGCGCTGAACCAGACCATGCTGGGCCGCCCCGACTCCCGCAGCATCCGTTTCAGCTTGGCGTGCAGGTAGGCGAGCCTCCCCGGGTGCAGGGTGCCTCGCACGTCTTCGTAACTCTCCAGCGGGGCCGGGTACAGCACGTGGCTGAGCTTGCTCAGCCCGATGGTGTGGCACAGGAGGTTCTCGAGGACGGCCATGGAGATGGGGTTCCCACAGAAACTGAAGGTGGTGAGCTGGGAGCAGCGGCTCAGAGCAGGCAGGATGGCACTGAACTGGGGGTCCACGACCCCACACTCATCCAAGTCCAGGTCCTGGAGGGTGGCGGAGGTTCGCTCCAGCAGAACCTGCAGGGACCGCATGCTCACACTGGTCAGGTTGACGCCGCTGAGACCCAGGTCTTTCAGCTGACAGATGGTGGGGCTCTGGGATAGATGCTTCAGGTCTAGTTCCGAAAGCAGGCAGTTAGTGATTGAGAGGGTCTCCAAGGGGCTCTTCAGGCACCTGCAGACAGACAGAGCAGTTAGTGCTGGGGAACGGCCATGTGGGTGGAAGGGGGTGATGGCGGTGGGGAGAGGTCAAGACCCCAAGCCTTCCGAATGCTGGTGAACTCGAGGATGCCGTGCTGCAAAGGGCTGTGAGTGAGCCCCAGGCCGGGTGGGGTGCGCCAGCATCCCATGTGGGCACCAGTTCCAATCCCATGTGGGCTCTACTTCCAATCCAGCTCTCTGGTATGGCCTAGGAAAGCAGTAGAAAAGCATAGGAAAACCTGGAGGAAGCTCCTGGCTCCTGGCTTTGGATTGGCGCAGCTCCGGCCATTGTGGCCATCTTGGAAGTAAACCATCAGATGAAAGACCTCTCTCTCTCTCTCTCTCTCTCTCTCTCTCTGCCTCTCATTGACCTGATTAGAAAAGCTTCCAAATCAGCAACACTAGAAAAAAATTAATGTTTTCAACTCGGGCCTCCTTCTAGCCCCAGCCTGGGCTCAGGCCCCTGCATCTCTGTGTCTGATGAGGCCATAAGGAACATACGTGGGCAAGTCGGCAACACCCAAAGGGAGCTGCCTGGCTGCAGGGGCTGCCCTCGTCCGCTGCATTGTCAGCGACTCAGCCATCACTTCCTCCCATTCCTCACACCTGCCCCTTCCTCCCTCATCCCAGAACCATGCATTCGCCATGTATGCCTTCACCTGGAGTTCGAAACCACCCTTTCCAGGCAGGAAGCGTGAGGCTGGTTTGGAGGGAAAGGCCCAGGCCGAGAAGGTGGGTGAATGCAAAGCTTGCGATCGGAAACCTCCCCATTTTGGGGGGTGGGGGGTTTCCTCTTCTACAATGCCCTCCTTGTTTTGCTACTTTTGGACTTCTTCACTTAGACATCATTGCCTAAGGAAGAATTCCCAGGGCTAACCCTCGCCAGCCCTCAAAGTCCTGTTTTGTAGTTTGCTGGCAAGGAGCAACTGTTGATGGCAACTATCCTAGCTCATACCTCTGGATGTGGCTTGTTGCCTTTGAAACGTGTGCTGAAACTTAATCCCCATTATGAGACATTAAGAGATGAGACCTCTAAGAGGTGACTGGGGTCCGCCTCACGGACAGACTAATGGGTTCTCTCCAGAGCAGTTCTACTGGAAAAGCCACTTTGGCTGGGTATCTCACACACTCCTAGTCTCTTGGCATATCATGCTAAAGACTGCCTTGGGGCTCTGTCAGCAAGAAAGTCATTACCAGATGTGGCTCAACTTTGGGCCAGACCTGTGAGCCACACAAGCCTTGGGGCTCTGTAACTCACCCAGTGGATCCTGTCCTACCGACCTCTGGCCTTCACCTGGGTAGTTATGGGACACCCGGCTTAGGGGTGCAGCAGTGAACAAGTGCTGACTTCTACAGGCTTTCCTCTCTTGCACTGTTGGCAGCTGGCAACACAAGGAGATGCCTGCTCCCATCCACTACAACACAGAAGGCCTTATCCTGGCCGGCGTCCCTCACCTGAGCATGTGGTTCAAGCGGCCTTCCAGGAAGGAAATAGAGTCCAAGTAGAGCTCCTGGAGGTGGTGCAGACTGAGGAACTGAGAGGTGAACTGGCTGACCCACTCCTCCTTCTCCTGGGACGCGCAGGAAGACATGTGGATGTGGGAGACGAGGAGGCGGCGCAGATTCCTCATCTGGCCCAGGTGCAGAGCAAACTTGCCCAGTGTGGACAGCTTCCAGGTGCAGCTCACCTCCAGATCCTGGACAGAGTCCAGCCGCACCATTTTCAGAATCGTCTTAATGTTCTGCATGGGCATCGCGAAGATCCGCAGCTTCCTACAGCACAGGTGCAGCAGCCCCTCCCTCTCCTTGGCTTTCTCAAGGAGACAGCTGAGCATTTCGTCACGGCTGCCTTCCTTGAGGCACAGGTCGACAAGCACCTCCAGGGGGGCCGGCGACTGTCTCACCCCAGCCCTGGACCTGTCCACTTTCTGCTTCTTCCTCAGGGGCTGGGTGGCCTCATTGTCCACCAACGAGCAGGCACCGACCCTGGTTCCAGACCACACGGTCCAGAAGTCCTGATGAGCATTTTTGCGTAAATCCAGAACTTGCAGTTTCCATCTTCTGTGGGGAAAACAGAGAACTCACTCAGCGATAGAGTGCGAGGCTCAGAATCCAGCGAGACCAGACGTCTGGCTGCACTGTGACCCCACGTCCCAGACAGCGGCTGCTTGCTTCCCCTCCCCGGGACCCTGCCTCTCCTCTGAATCCTTCTCCGGGAATATCTCCTCCCCTGGGGTCCCTCCTGGTCCCCGGTTCTTTTACATCTGAGTGCCATCTGGAGGGAGCAGGTGCATCCTCATTAGCCGTCCACATCCAAAGCCCATTCCCCTGATGGCATTGTCTGAAGCTCCCGCCCTGCCTTTGGCTCTCCACACCCCTGGACCCTGGCTGACCTTGCTCAGACTCCCAGGGCTCTGCCCGCCACCCCACCCTACCCCACCCCTCACCTGGGGCGAATGTCCTGGGCAAGCAGCACGTCGAGCCCGTCAAGCATGGCTTGGAAGGTCTCCCGGTGAAACTTCCGCTCCTTCATGAGAGCCCCCAGAGGGAGGCAGGCGAAGGGCCACGCCTGCACCATCGCCTTCAGGGTCTTTCTGCGCCTCCTGCTAAAGGCTGCCATGAACAGCGGCGGGAAGAGCTCCATGGGCAGCTCCTGCAGAGCAGCGCTGCCAAGGACTCATTCCTCAGCAGGTTCTTCCCTGCCACCTCCAGGAGCGTTGGTGGGGCCCAGAGGCTCGTCCTGCTCCGCTGGCTCCAAACGGGATCCTGCGGACACACACGGGGAACAACGAGGCATTCTTCTCAGGACAGGGCAGGCAGCTCCAACTTCCCCCACTCTTCAGTGGGGCCAATGCAGAGCTGGCATCACTGCTCTGGCAACGGGGATGGGGGGTGGGGAGGTCCTCACGGTACCCTGACGGCCACCAAGTCCCAGCTCCACCTCTTGCAACAGCAGGTTGAGCATCAGGCAAAGTGTTGGAGAGGGGCAACACCAGCGCCCCATCCCATATCCAGTCCCTGCTCCACTTCTTTCCAGCCCACCTGGGGAGGGAGCAAAGATGCCTGAAAGATTAACCTTTTGCCCTTTTGGTCACGTAGTCTGGCATAGCCCCCTCGGATCTAATAAGGAACACACACAGAAACTTTCAATCAGAAGCCACGAAAGCAACCCAGCAGTGTTACACAGATGGTGCCCATTTTAACTAGTATCTCTTCTATGAAGGATGGGGCTTCAAAACATTTATGAAAAACAGAATTTGAAGATAATTTGAGGGGCCACTGCTTGTGGCACTGGCATCTCCTATCCAACTGCCAGTTGGAGGGCCAGCTACTCAGCTAACGTGCCTGGGAAGGCAGTGAGTGACAGCTCAGCTACTTGGAACCCTGCCATCCCTGTGGGAGACCAGAATGGAGCTCCTGGCTTCCTGGCATTGGCCTTGCCCGTTCCTGGCTGTTGTGCTCATCTGGGGAGTGAATCGGCAGATGGAAGATCTCTTTCTCTTTCCCTCCTCTCTCTCTGTTGCTCTGCCTTTCAACTAAATAAAAAATTTAACAAAAAGATAACGTGAGGCCAGTACTGTGGCACAGCAGGTAAAGCTGCTGTCTATGGTGCCAATGTCCCCTATGTGTGCCAGTTTGTGTGCTGGCTGCTTCACTTTGCATTCAGAGGGAGAGACAGAGACAGAGACAGGGATGGAGAGAGAGAGGTGGAGGGGGTGGGGGAGGTGGAAAGGGAGAGAGAGAGGGGGAGAGAGAGAATCTTCCATCCACTGGTTCACTCCTCAAATGGCCACAATGGCCAGGAACCTAGAACTCCATCTGGGTCTCCCATGGGGGTGGCAGGGACCCAAGTCCTTGGACCATCTTATTCTGCCTTCCCAGGTGCATTAGTAGGGAGCTGGATCCAAACTGCAGCAGCCAGAACTCTAAACAGCTGCTCACTTGGGATGCCAGCATCGAAGGTGGCAGCTTAACCTGCCGCACCCCAGTGCCAGCCGATCCCTCACATATTAAATTATCACTTTGATATGGAATTCAGGGCGGGGGGAGTACTGTTGTCTGCAAAACACTATTTCTTTAACCAACAAATACTGTACATATTTGCAGTGTACAAGATGATGTTTTGAAATGATTACACCATAGAATGGCTAATGCAAGCTAATAAACACACACATATGCATTATTTCTCATACTTATTTTCTGTGGTAAGAACACTTAAAATCTACTCTCTTGGCAATTTTTAAGAAGTCCATACATTCTTTAATTTTCCTAAAGTTGTAAGGCAGAGAGACAGAGACATATAGACAGTTCCCATCCACAGGTTCACACCCCAAATGCCTACAAAGGCCCCACTTGGGGCCAAATCTAGGAACTGGGAACTCGGGTCTCTCACCTGGGTAGCAGGAACCCAATTAATTACTTGAGCTACCACTGCTGCCTCCCACGGTCTACATTTAGCAGGAAGCGGGAGTCGGGAGACAGAGCCTGGGATTGAACCCAGGCTATCTGATACGGGCCACAGGTGACACCCTGAGCTAAATGATAATACATTCTTGTTAACTACAGCCACCATGTTATGCTCTAAATCTTTTTAAAATTAAAAAACATTTAATTTTTAAATTTTAATTTATCCTAGATTTCTTGAAGAAACGTTCTCTTAAATAGCCCATGGAATGTGTTTTCAGCTTTTGGTGGGCGAAAAATGGCCTAACTTGTAATACCACAAAACCATAAATGATACAAACTATAATTATGGGTCACACACTAACTATAAGAAAAAGGCATTAATTAAAATCCCAACTAATTTTATGTCTTTATTTCTAAAAAAAAAATAAATAAAAAAAATCTCTAGCTGTTGGAACTGGCATTGTAGCAAAGGCCACCACCTTTGATGCCAGCATCCCATATGGGCACCAGTTGAGTCCTAGTTGCTCCACTTCTGGTCCAGCTCCCTGCTCATGGCCTAGGAAAGCAGTGGAAGATGTCCAAGTGTTTGGGCCTCTGCCACTCACATGGGAAACCTGGATGAAGTACCTGGTTCCTGGCTTTGGCCTGGCCCAGCACTGGCCATTGTGGAATGAACCAGCAAATGGAAGATCTTCAACTCTTTCAAAATAAATAATTCTAAAACAAACAAAAACCACAACTAATATCTGTTTAACAGTAGTGGAAAATGTCCAGCCCATGAAATCACCTGATCTGGACCTGCCATAGCACCTGCAGGTGGGACACGAAATTTAATAAATCTATAGCTGGCTAATTTTTAAGTTGGTGAGTTTGTATGGTCTGGAAATAATGTTATAAATATCCAAGTAGCCCCAAAACCTTATCCTTGGTTTAAGAAATTAAAATGTTTGGAAGTATGCATTTGGCACAGCAGCTAAGCTGTCCTTGGGACACCCTCATCCTTTATCAGGTTGCCTGGGGTATGGGCTCTGGCTCTGCTCCCATTTCCAACTTCCTGACAATGCCCACTTGGGCGGGGGTGGGGTGGGGCGCAGCTGGTTACAGCTTAAGTAGTCGGGTCCTTGCCACCCATATGGGAAACCAGGACTGAGTTCTGGGCTCCTGGCTTCAGCCTGGCCCAGTACTGGCTGTGGGAGGCATTTGGGGAGTGATGTAGAGGGCAGAAGATCCCCGTCTCTCTGCCTTCCAAATAAAATGAAATTAATAAAAGATAAATAAAATGTTTGTGATTAAGACAAAATTGTACTTAGAGAAAAAAAATAAAGCTCATTTAGAGGGAGAGGGGAAATCCCCTGGGCATGCAGTGTTAGCTGCTACCTTGGCTCAGGGCAGGTGTTGCAGTGCGGCAGGGTAGGCCACTGTTTCTGATGCCTGCTTTCCACCTAAGAGTGCTGGTTCCAGTCCCAGCTGCTCTGCTTCCAATGCAGCTCCCAGTTAATGCACCTGGGCAGCAGCAGGTGATGGCCCTAGTACTTGAGTTTCTGCCACCCGCATGGGCGTCCCAAATGCAGTTCCTGCTTCCTGACATCGGGCTGTGCTGTGATGTCAGGAAGACCTGGATGAGTTGGATGGAGCTCCAGGCTCCTGGCTTTGGCCTGGCCACTGGGGGAGTGAACCAGTGGATGGAAAGTGCTCTCTCCCCCTCTCTCTGTTGCTCTGCCTTTCAAACACATAGTCTTTTTAAAAATTGAGGAGTTTTCTCCCATTCTACTGAGCTAGTCTGAAGATCACAGCAAGCCAAAAGGTAAAAGGAAAAATAAAGTCCAGCTCCTTTTAACTAAAGAGGCACCAGAAATGCTGGAAGAGGACCTCTCCTGGTTCCAGAAGAAATCTCTCGTCTTCCCAGAATCATCAAGCTAACCACAGGCTGGAGACCAGACCTGATGCCCATGGCCTCACCCCCCCTTAGCTTGTTTTTTCCTTCTTGTATGTATCTGAGAGAGAGGTAGGTAGGCAGGTAAGTATGGAACCAGCGAGACTCAAGATTCCATCCACTGGTTAATTCTTCAAATGCCCACAACAACTGGGGCTGTACCAGGCCAAAGCCAGCAGCTCACTCCAGGTCTCCCACAGGGGAGGCAGGACCTCAACCACTTGAATCATCACCGCTGCGCACCAGCAGGAAGCTGGACTCAGGAGTCAGAGCTGGGCATCAGACCAAGCTCCAGGACATGGGATGCAGGCTTTTAACTGCTAGGCTAACTGCATCCCTTAAGGGGTGGGGTTAGTGTTTTAAGACCAACTGGTGACATTGTGGGCTTTGATTTGGAGGCTGGGATGTCTTAAGGGCTTGCTCTGTTTGACCTTGATCTAGGGGAGGTGCTGGTGGCTGTGGTGACTATCCCCCCTACCCTCAGCCCATGTGTACAGACTCAGACCAACGGAGTCTGGGGAAAGGGGAGAGGTGACCACAGATCCTGGACGCAGACAAGGGAGGAGATAGGAGGCAAAGGGTGGGACCTGGCCTTATTGTTTGGCCCAGAGAGGAATGTCTTTTTTTTTTTTTTTTTTTTTTGACAGGCAGAGTGGACAGTGAGAGAGAGAGACAGAGAGAAAGGTCTTCCTTTGCCGTTGGTTCACCCTCCAATGGCCGCCGCGGCCGGCGCGCTGCGGCCGGCGCACCGCGCTGATCCGACGGCAGGAGCCAGGAGCCAGGTGCTTTTCCTGGTCTCCCATGGGGTGCAGGGCTCAAGCACCTGGGCCATCCTCCACTGCACTCCCTGGCCACAGCAGAGGGCTGGCCTGGAAGAGGGGCAACCGGGACAGAATCCGGCGCCCCGACCGGGACTAGAACCCGGTGTGCCGGCGCCGCTAGGCAGAGGATTAGCCTAGTGAGCCGCGGCGCCGGCAAGGAATGTCCTTTGATTAGACTTTTGCACTTCATTATCATCATTCACCAGAGCTATCGGTGGACTGTGAAGTCTGTGCTTTTGAAGACAGAGCGAGAGAAAATGGAGCCTGGACGTGTGCTCATCGTCCACTGAACCCCAACTCTCCGAGCCACAGGAACAACTTGGTGGTGCAGAGCAAAGTTGAGCCGAGTGTGCCGAGCTGTGTGGCACCTTCTGCTGGAGCCAAGGAGGGGAGCAATGATCCTCAGGGATGCTAGGGGCACGGCCTCACTTCTGATCGGACAGAAACCCCCATGTCCCATGGGGAGGGCTGGCAGGAGGCCCTGGGGCAAGTCAGTGCTCGAGACAGACTCCCTGGCAGTCTCCGGCACAGATCATCCTCTCCTCTCGGTGCACTCAAGAGCACCTCCTGGGTGCCCCCCTGAGGATGACCAAGAGGAGCACCCAGTGAGAACCTGGGGCCTGGACTTTACACTGTATTCAGTAGACAAACGAGAAACACACAGGCTGGAAAACAAATTAATCCCGGCTGAAGGCCATAAAAGTGCTTGTGCAGCTGAAACCAAGCAAAGCTATCCTATCTGCCTATTCACAGGCAGACTTGTGACTTCTCCTTGTCTATTAGGTCAAAGCATTAAGAACTGTTACTATCTCTCATACATGTATACAGAAATGAAAAATACTATAATTAATATTTATTGAGTATCCTGATTTAAAACATCGAGGATGAAAAAAATTTCAAAAATGCTTATTGAGTACTTTGAATAGTGCTTGCCTCCCTGTCACTGCAAAATCTTTGATAAGAAGGGACCATCCATGCCTTGTTTGGTTTTTATTTGAGATACACAGAGACAGAGAAAGCTCCCATTTGGTGCCTGATTCCCCACATGGTTGCAATGGTTGGGACTGAGGCTGGGGCCAGGCTGAAGCCAGGAGCTGATAACTCAATCTTCTTTCTCACAGGTGGCAGGAACTCTGTTACTTAAGCCATCATCTGCTGCCTCCCAGGGTCTGCATTAGCAGGAAGCTGGAATTACTGGAGCAGAAGCCTGGAGTCAAACCCAGGTAATCCAATATGGGATGGGTGTCCTTTTCAAAAATGTTTAATTCGCTTATTCTCATCTACCTGAAAGGCAGAGCAATGGGACACAGAGAGGCAGAGAGATCTTGCATCCCTTGGTTTACTCCCCAGATGTCTTCAATAGTCAGGGTTTGAAGCCAGAAGCCACCCACCCATGTGGTGGTAAGAGATCCAAGCACCTGAGTCATCCTCCACTGCTTCCCAGAATGCACAACACCAAGAAGCTGGATTGGAGGCAGAACAGCCAGGACTTGGACCAGTACTCGGGTGCAGAATACGGGGGTCCCAAACAGCAGCTTAACCCACTGTGCCACGACACCTGTCCTGGGATGTGAATGCCTCCACTGCGGGACCAAACAGCAGTCCCATCCTTGGTGAATTCCCACACGCTTTCTAAGTTTCAATATCAGCTTTCAACGTATTTATTCTTTGTGCTTTCCATGTCGTGACTGTCTTTATGGTCAAAAAAATTTTTTTCCACTGTCATTTCCTCCAAAAACATCTTCATCCTTTTCATCACAACCATTTTCTTTCTTTCTTTCTTTTTTTTTTTTTTTTTTGACAGGCAGAGTGGACAGTGAGAGAGAGAGAGACAGAGAGAAAGGTCTTCCTTTTTTTTGCCGTTGGTTCACCCTCCAATGGCCGCCATGGCCGGCGCACTGCGGCCGGCGCACCGCGCTGATCCCATGGCAGAAGCCAGGTACTTCTCCTGGTCTCCCATGGGGTGCAGGGCCCAAGCACTTGGGCCATCCTCCACTGCACTCCCTGGCCACAGCAGAGAGCTGGCCTGGAAGAGGGGCAACCGGGACAGAATCCGTTGCCCTGACCGGGACTAGAACCCGGTGTGCTGGTGCCGCAAGGCGGAGGATTAGCCTAGTGAGCCGCGGCGCCAGCTCATCACAACCATTTTCTTCCCTTGTGCTAGGAGTTGGAGAACATGAGCCTGAATCAGAACCAGCTGTATTCGGAATCACGACGATAAGGCAAAAACAGTTCCTGTGTCCAGCACTGCTTCGAGTTTATGCAACCACTTCACTCCCCTAGTGCCATGTGTTGATCCTGCAATGGGCTCACACCGGTCTTCCCTCTCTCAGGGTGCAGGAACTCATGCTCACAGGGATGAGCCACAGGTGGCTGACTCTCCCAAGAGGGTGACATGGGAACACAGCCCGCAACAGTGCACCTGTGCCAATCTGATGTGAGAGTGCCAGGAAAAGTTACAATGGGGACACCTCCCTCTGTTGTGTGTGCTATCCACAGGCAGGATCAGGTACAGGTACAACACAGTCTCTGTTTACACGATGTCCCACACCAGCCCGGGGGTGCAGCAGGTCTGTGGTCTCTGGCCTCTGCCAAGTTTTCCAGACAGATGGAGAAAAGAGGACTTGATACTCCCAATGGAAAACCTCGAGAGGCCTCTGTTCACCGTCTTGAGGCACCACAGTAAGGAGCTCTGTCTCCCTGGTGTGCGAGACTTACAGCAATGCCGCACAGCCAACACTTTCTCACCTGCACTTCCTTGTCATGGACAAGGAGCCAAATTTACTGCTGTGGCCTCACCAGCAGGTTCTAAGCAGCAGATGTGGAGGCTGGGAAACGGATGCAGGAGCTGAGTCTCTGGGTGATTTCCATGACAGCCTGGCCTTGGCTCTGCTCACCGCCTTGGTCTTTGCACAGCCAAGAGAGGCTAAGGAGGGGTCTCCCTGGCAACACAGGGCTGCCTCTACCCATGCCTTCCCAAAACCCCCTGGGGTGATGACCCTGTCTTCTGTCTGCAGGCCATACCTCTCATTCACTACGTTCTGCTTGGAAGGCAACAGCAACACCTGGTATCAAAAACTCTCCCGGTACTGGTTTATCCTTGGGCCTCGGGCCCCAGCTCAGTCCATGGGCTTCAAGTCAGACCACATGGGACCGCCCCACGCAGTACAGGAGAAATGAGGCTGTGGGACCTTCGTGCTCACTTTCCAGGAGCAAGCCTTACCCTCAGTGGTCCAAGGCCACAGGTGAAGGGAACCCTCCGGGAACTTGAACTCCTGCACACTCTTCCCTACGTGCCCCGCCCCTTCTGAATGCCCCAGGCAGAGGTTCCAGGGTGAGCACTGCGCTAAGAATCGAGTCCCAGCACACTACAGTTGTTCTTACAAAACAAAGGTAGCAGGACCAGTGAAACACTCTCTTGCGGCAAATGATTGGGTAAAATTAGGAAAGCCTGCTACTTCCACTGGGAGGGGCGTCAGGAAGCAGCCGCCGTCTGGGTCCTCGAGGCCAAGACCTTACACCTGAGACAGCTCAGGGGACGTGTCTTACCTGCTGATACCTTCTGAACACACCGGTCCGGCTCAGACCGGCCTCGGGGGCTCGGATCCGTCCGTTTCCAGGGGTCCTGGCGATTCAGCCACCTGCTTCTACCCAAACCTGAGAGCAATAACTAAACCGCTCCAAAAAGCAAGGCGCCAGGGATTTTAACACCCGTGTTTAGGAACCAAGGGCCTCCAAGGAGAACCTCTGCAGAGCCAAATGCTGGCAACTGGATCCTGCACACACACACACCCGCCCCCTGCCTTAGGTGGGACTCGCTTCCCCTAGGCGGAACCCGACGACAATCTACGGGGCAGACCTGGCCCCCCCAGGTCTCCCAGTGACCCGGCCCTCAAGGGCACGGGCCACCGTCCCATGGCCACATTCCCGCCACCTCCTAGCACCTCTAGAGGGGCCAGCCTCCCAGAGCAGCTACCCCATTTCTAAGGCACCCGCAGCCCGCCCCCACGCGCAACCCTAAGCGCGCACGTCTCGGTTCCACGAATTATTACGTCTGAGACGCCCAGCGGAGGCCATCTCCAGGGCGCCGGGCGCGTGCGCGTTCGCCCCGTCTTTCCCTTCCACCCTGCGCCCAGTGACCCCCGATTTCAGAGGCAAAACGGGGGCCCATGGGGGCTGGTGGCGACCAGGGAGGTGCCCCAGGTCACCCCGAGAGACAGTGGGGGGCCAGGGGAAGGGTCTGAACTTACGCTTTCTCCCAGCGCGCACCTCACCACGTGACCGGCCGGCCGGACAGAACTTGACCCCAACTCAGCTAGCGCCCCGACGCCCCCAGCAGGGACAGCGCCTGACCTGACCAATCAGGTGTGGGCTGTGAAATCTCACGCGATCCTGGGGGGGGGCGGGGAGGAAATCTCTTGAGGGGGAGGGGCTATTGCTTGTGGCCACGCCCACTGAGTGTGAGGCGATTTGTGGGGAGGTGGGGCTGGGCGGGGACAAGCCGGCTGGGAGTGAGTGGGTGGAGTAGCCAGAGATGGGGGAGGGTTTGTGAGGAGGGGCATGTGGCGGGGGCAGGAGGTGGAGACAAGAGAATGGGTGTGGGGGTGAGACTGTTGGGATGGAGGGTTAGTGGGATCCGAGGTTTGGAGTGTGAGAGGGCAAGGCCAAGACCCGGACCCACCCTAGGGTGACCCTTTTCCCACAGGGGCCGGCTCTGGGGTGCCTTGAAGGTGGCTCCTCACTCCACCCCCTTTGATCTAGAAAAGACGGGACCCCTCCCTCTGCCGGGCAGGAGAAGAGCAGCCCCTTCCCCACCATGGTTCAGATCCCTGCCCTTCCACCAGAGGGCGCTCTCCTCAGCCCTTCCTCACCACGGTTCAGGTCCCTGCCCTTCCACCAGAGGGCGCTCTCCTCCCTTCCCACAGTTTTCCCAAGCTGTGGAATTCCTGTCCCACTGCGCTGTTCTGCTGAGCCTGCTTTCCACGGAAAACTGCGTTTGCTGGTGCCATCCCCTGGCCCTTCGGAGGACTGCAGCTGCCCCTTGTCCTAAAACCAGGGCCTCTCTTTTCAACCATACCTTTGGCTAGGTGGTCTGGCCAGCGGGCCAAGGATGTGGAGGAGGGGTAAGCAAGCCCTCTGGGAGCCTTGACCACTGTCTGGGGCCCCTCCCCAGAATCCACAGGGATGGTTCAGAGGCCTGTGCTGGGTTTCGGTGCTGGCTACTGCCCTTTGAGGGTGGGGGAGGGAGTGAGGGTTCGGGGAGACTTTCCTGGTGCAGACACGGGGGACTGGTGGCCACACGGGCAGGGGTTGGGGATGGGGAGGGCGTGGGATCTCTGGGTCTTTTTCCTCCAGCTGCTTGAGTCTGGCCTGGAAAGTATCCAGTCTCTACGGGTGATTTACTAGAAAGGGATGTGTGGGGACGTGGGGTCTGGGACTGAGTGCCTGTCAGCCAGGCCACCTCAGATTTGGAGCCACAAAGGCCATGACCATGGTGGTGACTGTTTTTCCTGGATCGGCCCTGCCGTTTCCCAGGCACCCTCAGATTCCAGGCTACACAAATGGAGAGGAAGAAGGAAAGGAAGTGGTAGCTACAAATAGGGTTGGCCATTGCGCTGGCCATCAGTGCACTTGGCATTGTCACCTAGAACTTGGCTTGTGAAAGCCTCCACTAGTTTCACCTTGGAACCACAGAGCCATGCTCCCTTCGGCTCCCTTATCTTACCCAGCAGAAATTCGTCCTTCTGAGCCTCATTTTGGATTTCAGTTTCTCAGAACAATAAGAGAAAAAAATCCGTTATTCCAAACCATTAAATTTGTGGTTAACTTTCATAGCAACAACAGGAATCTAGTATAGTTGGATGCCATGCATTTTTGACATCTTCTCCATGTATTTTACTTTTTTTATTTTTAGATTTATTTATTTGTTTGAAAGTCAGAGTTACATGGAGAAAGGAGAGGCAGCGAGAGAGGTCTTCCATCTGATGGTTCACACCCCAGATGGCCACAACAGCTGGAGATGGGCAAGTCCAAAGCCAGGAGCCAGAAGCTTCCTCCAGGTCTTCCCATGTGGGTGCAGGGGCCCAAGGACTTGGGCCATCTCTACTGCTTTCCCAGACCATAGCAGAGAGCTGGATCGGAAGTGGAGCATCCGGGTCTTGAACTGGTGCCCATATGGGATGCCGGCGTTCAAGCCAGGGCGTTAACCCGCTGCACTAGAGTGCTGGCCCCGTACTTTACTTTTTTAAAAAGTAATTTTTAGAAGTTTAATTTATTTGAAAGGTAGAGTGACACAGAGAGAGGATGAGAGAGAGAGAGAGAGAGAGAGAGAGAAAGAATTGTCCATCTGCTGGTTCTCTTTCTAAATGCCCACAACAGCCAAAGCTGGGTCAGGATGAACTCAGGAGCCCAGAACTTCTTTCTGGTCTCCCATGTGGGTGGCAGGGACTCAGGTACTTGAAGCATCCCCTTCTGCCTCCCAGGTGGAAGCTGGATTGGAGGTGGGATCTAATCTAGGCACTCGGATATGGGATGTGGGGCTCCCAAGTGGCTTCCTATCTTGCTGTATTACAATGCCTACCCCTCGGCCGGCGCCGCGGCTCACTAGGCTAATCCTCTGCCTGCAGCGCCGACACACCGGGTTCTGGTCCCGGTCAGGGCGCCGCATTCTGTCCTGGTTGCTCCTCTTCCAGTCCAGCTCTCTGCTGTGGCCCGGGAGTGCAGTGGAGGATGGCCCAAGTGCTTGGGCCCTGCACCTGCATGGGAGACCAGGAGAAGCACCTGGCTCCTGCCTTTGGATCAGTGTGGTGTGCCGGCCACAGCGGCCATTGGGGGGTGACCCAATGGAAAAGGAAGACCTTTTTTTTTTTTTTTTTTTCTCATGTGTCAACTTTGCCTGGCCTAAAAAAAAAGAAAAAAAAAAAATTTGCACATCTGTCCCACACACAATGCCTACCCCTATTGAATCCTTTTAATTTGTATTGTGTCCAAGATTCTTTAGGGTTAATGCTGTCTTACTTAGACACCTTCAGTATACAGGAAGTTATTTTGGAACTCTCTTCAGCACATTAATGTTGGTTTTATAGGTGATAAGTTATGTCTCATGCAAATTACCATTATTTTCTAATTTACAGCTAAACTGCTTATGTCTGTTGCATGACAGTGTGGACAGAACTCTCTAGAATTAATTTGAATGATGACTTCTGCATCTGAAAGTGCCTGAAAATCTGGAAATGTTGATCATGTAACCAAGAGTGTGGAATTTCAGCTAAGGGGGCGCAGCAACAGGGCCCGAGAACCTGCCGCAATTGGTCAGAGGTTGGTGTTCAGGAAATGTTCCAGAAAAGCCTCCTGTTGCAACACTGTGCTCAGAGCCAGCCAGACCACTACAGTCAAGGAAGGCTGCAAATTGGAAAGGCAGAGTTACAGAGAGGCAGAGGCAGAGAGAGGTCTTCCATCTGCTGGTTCACTCCCCAAATGACCACAATAGCCGGAGCTGGGCAAGTCCAAAGCCAGGAACCAGGAACTTCTTCCAGGTCTCCCACACAGGTGCAGGGGCCCAAGGACTTGGGCCATCTTCTACTGCTTTCCCAGGCCATAGCAGAGAGCTGGATCGTAAGTGGAGCAGCCAGGTCTCAAGCCGGTGCCCATATGGGATGCAGGCACTGATGGCAGCAGCTTTACCTGCGATGCCACAGTGCCAGCCCCACTGAGTCAGATTTTTGAACATATGATCTCTGAAGATACATATTGAGTAAACAAGAAGGGCCCTCCCACTCGCCTTTTTCCTGCATCCTGCACACTCCTCTAACCCTTGCTATAAAAACTCCTGCAAATTGTTTCTCTGGAATGCAGGGTTTTTTTTTAAGGTCATGAGTAAGTAAAATTTCCCTCTGAGTGACTCTCACTTGAGGCTGATTATTTGGTGACACGCATGTAAAGGCCCCTTGTGTCTCCCACATGCACAGAGCAAACCCCTTCTGTACTTCCCGCAGGCAGAAACCAGCAGCACCTGGTGCCTTGCACTGGCCCGTTCCCTCAAAGAGCTCAGGTGATGGGGATTTGCTCTTTTTTTTTTTTTTGACAGGCAGAGTGGACAGTGAGAGAGAGAAACAGAGAGAAAGGTCTTCCTTTGCCGTTGGTTCACCCTCCAATGGCCGCTGCGGCTGGCGCGCTGCAGCTGGCGCACCGCACTGATCCGATGGCAGGAGCCAGGTGCTTCTCATGGTCTCCCATGGGGTGCAGGGCCCAAGTACTTGGGCCATCCTCCACTGCACTCCCTGGCCACAGCAGAGAGCTGGCCTGGAAGAGGGGCAACCGGGACAGAATCCGGCGCCCCGACCGGGACTAGAACCTGGTGTGCCGGCGCCGCAAGGCGGAGGATTAGCCTAGTGAGCCGTGGCGCTGGCCTGGATTTGCTCTTAATCCCATGTACACCCCCTGGTTTGGAAAGCGTCTGGCCTACTTAATTAGTCACAAGTATTTTATGGTTAGATATTCCCAGTGACACACTGATTTCAAAATATTCCTAAAACAAATGATCCTCGAGGCCCTGTCCTCCCAAGTCCTGAGACTGCTCCCCAGTTTAGCAGGACTGCACAAGACCGAAGTTTTACATCTATTATGCATTATATGGGAGATGCTGTATGAATGGGATCTTTGAAAGTTTCATAGTAAAAGCATATTATGAAAAAATTGGGCAAGAGCTTCAAAAATTTCTGTACCACAATTAGTTTAGCTTTTAATTCTATTTTCCATAAGTTTTTTTTTTAAAAAAAGATTTGTTTATTTGCAAGGCAGATTTAGAGAGAGAGAGAGAGAGAGAGAGAGAGAGAGAGAGGGAAGGAGGGAGGGAGGGAGGGAGAGACACAGAGAGACAGATCTACCATGTGCTGGCTCACTCCCCAAATGGACACAATGACCAGGGCTGGGCCAAGCTGAAGACAGGAGCTAGCAACTTAATTCAGGTCTCCTGTGTGGGTGGCAGGGACCTGAGTACTTGGGCCATCTTCTACTGTTTTTCCAGTGTTTCATCAGGGAGCTGGATCAGAAGCAGCTCAGCTGAGACTTGAACCAGTGCTCTTATATGGACAGAGTGGCTTAACCTGCTGTGCCTCCACAATGCTGGCCCTATGTTATTATTATTATTATTATTATTATTAAAGATTTATTTATTTAGGTGAAAGGCTATGAGTCTAGCATTTGAGAAATGGAAAAAATAGTACTTTTAAGGATTATGGCACCAATTCCAGTCTCCACTCTTGGAGCTATGTGGTAGCTGTTGGCAACCACAACAGATGATTTGCAGAAGATAAATGTTGGGGTTGGAGCTGGTGTGGTGATGCATCAGGTTAAATCACTGCTTGCAATGCTGGCATCCATGTGAGCACCAGTTCAAGTTTTGGCAGCTCCTGCTAATGCTCCTGGGAAAGCAGAGGAAGATGGTCCAAGTGCCTGGGTCCCTGTCACCCATGTGGGAGACATGGGTGGAGTTTCTGGCTCCTGGCTTTGGCCTGGCCCAGACTCTGCTGTTTGGAGAGTGAGCCAGCAATGGAAGATCTCTCTCTCTCCCTCTCTCCCTCTCTCCCTCTTTCCCTCTCTCCCTCTGTCTCTCCTTCTCTCTCTATAACTCTGCCTTTCCAATAAATAAAATAAATCTTTTTTTTTAAAGATGCTGGAATGGTTCATCAGTGATGGCCAAGTAGGAGTTGTAGGGGTGGGAAATTTCCACCTTCATCCTCTTAGAGTCCCACCTGGGACCAAGACCTAAACTGACATAAAGCAGATGAACAGGTGTGGATGTGTGGTGCTGTGGGTTAAGCCTCCACTTGAGACACCTGCATCCCATATCAGAGTGCTAATCCCATATCTCTTGCCACTCTGTATTACTTCTTCTTTTTTTTTTTGACAGGCAGAGTGGACAGTGAGAGAGAGAGAGAGAGACAGAGACAGAGACAGAGACAGAGAGAAAGGTCTTCCTTTTTCCATTGGGTCACCCTCCAATGGCCGCTGCAGCCGGCACGCTGTGGCCGGCGCACCACGCTGATCTGATGGCAGGAGCCAGGTGCTTCTCCTGGTCTCCCATGGGGTACAGGGCCCAAGCACTTGGGCCATCCTCCACTGCACTCCCGGGCCACAGCAGAGAGCTGGCCTGGAAGAGGGGCAACCGGGACAGAATCCGGTGCCCCGACCCAGACTAGAACCCAGGGTGTCGGTGTCGCAAGTGGAGGATTAGCCTATTGAGCCGCAGCGCCGGCTGCCACTCTGTACTTCCAACCCAGCTTCCTGTTTTGTTTTTTAAAGATCTTATTTATTTATTTGAAGGTCAGAGTTACACAGAGAGAGGAGAGGCTGAGAAAGAGAGAGAGATCTTCCATCCACTGGTTCACTCCCCAACTGGCTGCAATGGCTGGAGCTGTGCTGATCCGAAGCCAGGAGCCAGGAGCCAGGAGCCAGGAGCCAGGAGCCAGGAGCCTTTTCCGGGTCTCCCACATGGGTGCAGGGGCCCAAGGACCCGGACCATCCTCCACTGCTTTCCCAGGCCATAGCAGAGAGCTGGATCAGAAGTGGAGCAGCCAGGACTTGAACCGGTGCCCATATGGGATGCCGGCACTTCAGGTCAGGAAGTTAACCAACTGCGCTACAGCGCCGGCCCCCCAGCTTCCTGTTAATGCACCTGGGAGACAACAGATGATGGCTCAAGTACATGAGCCCCTGCCACTCATGTGGGAGACCTAGATGGAGTTCCAGGCTCCTGGATTCAGACTGGCCCAGCCCTGGCTGCTGCATTTCTTTGGGGGGGAATGAACCAGGAAGATGTCTCCCTGTCTCTCCCTTTCTCTCTGTCATTCTGCCTTTCAAATAAATACATGCATAAACAAATCTTGAAAAAATACATAAAAACAGATTTGTCTAGATTGACCAGAGAAAACATGCAAACATATTTTATATAATTTTTATGCAGCATGAGATCCTGCATGGGGAAATGAAGGCCCCTGAAGAAGCAGCTCACATCAGCTAATCATATACTGGTGAAGAAGAACTAAGTTACACATGGAGGTTTTAAAGGTAAGAATGATTTTCATAAGGTCAAGGTCTCTACCAAATTCTTCTGGCCTCAGCTTCTTGTCTTTGAAGATAAGAGTGTTGCTTTTGTGTTTCTCAAACAGCAGTTTCATTCTCTGCCTTTAGGAGCTCCATCCAGATCTCCCATGTGGATGGAAGGGGCCCAAGGACTTGAGCAATCACCGGCTGCCTCCCAGGGTGCACTAGCAGGAAGGGGGATCTGCGGGCTCTAACTGACATTCAATTATGTGATTCAGGCATCCCAAGCAATGGCTTACCCTGCTGCTTCACCACACCAGCCCCAGAAGCACATTGTTGAGGCTTAACCACCAACACCAGGCGAGTGACAAAGGGCAAAGGGGGAGCTAGGACATCTGACACCCACGGCGATAGAAATTCTCGATAAACATAGCGCAGTACCAACAGACAAGACATATGGGCCACCAGTAAAGGTCTAACATACTAACCAGCATGTTCAGAGGGAAGCAAGAGAGGAGGGTACTGGGACTGGGAGTCGAACTCTTACAGAAAAGCTTCCTAGATAGCCCAACCTATGAAGCCAAGTCCCCCCGAGTCCAGGGGTCCTTTCAAAGTCAATGAAGAATGAAGTTAAAAGCTAAATTTGCCCTGCAAAAATACTTGTAAATCCACATATAGTTTTTTCATAATATGTGTTTTCCTTTAACATTTTGAAGACTTCTATATGCATGGATTTCCCAAGTTGTTTGCACTAAGAGAGACGTATCTTTTAATTCCCTTTTCCATGAACCTTTGTAAGTACTCTTGTATTTGCTTATCATATTTGCTTAGTGTGGCTGTTGTGATAAATCATCAAAGTACAAACTGGGTGGCTAAAAATAAGGACCTGTAAATGATTCCACCTGATATGTTTGGAGCAGGCACTCAGTCCGCCATGCCTTACTTCTAAGTATTGGTAGAAAAACATACAATGATCACACACTACCCATGGGTGGAAGATCTCAGTCCAAGCTGGTGAACTACCCTGAGTTCTGGTTCTGGTAACATGGACACTGATGAAGGCTAAAGGGAGACCCAGCATCTGGTATCCCAAGTGGACTCCAGGTCCCCGGTTCTGGACTCTTGGCTCAATCTTCCTTTGAGCCCTGTCCAGCTGCTGAGAGGGTTCCTGGAATCTTTGCCGTGCAGACTGATCTCTTTCTCTTTCCCCTAGTGAAGTTTTTGACACACCAAAAGGCTTGGTTCTGGTCCCGTTTCCCTCCTGCAGTGCTCCCACCAGGGCTGGCACCGATGTGGATCTAGCATCTCTCTGGCCCTGAACTGAGACCACCTCTCCAGAAGTGATCCACTGGGCTCCAGGGTCGCTGGGGCAGACAGTGGTCCCGGTGGAGGAGTGTCTGAGTCAGCAGGTGCACTGGGTGATACATTCCACTGTGGACCAAGAGGGAGATACACAGTGCTTGCATTAGGAGGAAAAGTGAGGGGAGGAGAAGGAAGCAGGTGTATAGAAGAAGCTGACCGCTGATTCCTGGGTCTCCTCCTGAGCTCCATTCTTGAGCTTAGCTCTCCTGTGTAAGCCACTGGGGGGCAGCAAGGGCCTGGATTTGAGAGCTGCAATGGCCCAAATGCACTGCTAAGGTTTATCCTGGCCTGTAGGGGGGCCCAAGTGATTGCAAAACATTCATAAGCATGTGGTCCCCATTGAGTCTCTTCATTGCAGATGCCAGTCAATATCCCTGGGCTTCTGTCTCAGGCCTCTGCCGAGGCTGGGGACAGGGAGATGTGGGAGCATGCGCCCTTGCAGGGGTAGAGAAGGATGAGGAGTTTCCTGCCAGCCCTGCCTTCAGTCCCTGGAAGGAAGCTGTTGGACGCTTCTGAGGCAGGCTCACCCCCCAGGGAAGGGATGAGTGAGTCTTCAGCTTTCTCTGCAAACAGAATCATGTTCTCCAGGAAGGAACAGGTCCTGTGCCTCTCACCTCCTGTATGTTATGGGGTGACTGCAGAGACAGAACAAGAAGAGTACCCCCAGAGCAGAGTGTGGTGTTGGCTGGGCAGGGGTATATGAGGAAACACATACAAATCTATTTCTCACTATATATAATATATGTAGAATATGTAAATACATATTAACAACTATTATATTATAATTATATATAATTTATGTATTATATAAAATAGAATATATGTATTTAACATGCCTCATTGTGGCTAGTAGACTGAGCAAGCTTAACCTCTCCATCTCAGCTTCCTCCTTCTTTTATAAATATTTATTTATTTGAAAGGTAGAGATATAGAGAGATAAGGGTGGGGGAGAGAGGTATCTTCCATCCACTGGTTCACTCCTCAAATGGCTGCAACTGCCAGAGCTGGGCCGATCTGAAGCCAGGATCCAGGAGCCTCTTCCAGGTCTCCCACATGGGTGCAGGGACCCAAGCACCTAGGTCATCTCCTGCTGCTTTCCAGTAGTGTTAGCAGGGAGCTGGATCCTAAACTGAGCAGCCAGGGTTCTAACCAGTCACTCAGATAAAGGCTGGGTCCATCCTAAGAGGCAGCTTTCTCTGCTGTACCACACTACTCTCCCCTATTTTAATATGTTGTATTTTCATTTTCATTCAGGTCAATGCATTTTATAGCTTTCTTTGGGAGATGGCACTTTAACTACGGATTATTAGAAGTATAAATCTCCAGGCATGTTAGTGTACTTGGGCAGCTGCAGCACTATCTCCTGCTTTATAAGCAACAGCAACATTTCAGACTTTACCCTTGTGTCCTAGCACCTTTAAAGCCTGTGAATGGTCCCCAAACACAAGTAATGCATGGGGTCAATTCTCAGCCTTCAAGGACCCTAGATTTCTGTATACGCATGAGAGTTCTTCAAAAAGTTCATGGAAAATAGAATTAAAATATAAATTTAGTTGCGTGCAAAAAATTTTGAAATCCAAGCACACATGGAGTTTTCAGGAAGTTGATGGAAAATGTTATGAAAAAGCTTTGCATACATTTCATAATTTCTTATACCAAAATAAACTTATTTTTAAATTCATCTTCCCACAAACTTTTAAAAAATAGCCTCATGGAAGGACAACCATGCATAAATGTCTGTGCCAGGATCCACTGAGGGAATCTGGGCTTAATTCCCATAGGACCTGGTGGGGTGACCCAACTGTCACTTTCCAGGGTGCAGCCCTGGAGGTCTCACCCACAGTCCAGGTCATGGCAGGTAGACAGATGCTCCCCCTCCCTAACAGTTCAGCCTTTCTCATAGTTGTTCACACATTCCAATATTTTCAACCTCCATTTCCCAACTACCCTTTTTTTGTTAAAGTTTTTTTTTTTATTTGAAAGGGAGGGGGAGAGAGAGAGAGAGAGGTCTTCCATCTGCTGGTTCATTCCCCAAATGGCTATAACAGCCAGAGCTGGGCCAGGTTGAAACCAGCAGCCAGAAGCTTCATCCGGGTCTCCCACATGGGTGGCAGGTGCCCGAGCTCTTCTTCCACTTTTTTTCCCAGGTGCATTAGCAGGGAACTGGATCAGAAGCGGAGCAGCCAGGACTTGAACCATCATCCATATGGGATGCAGCACCTCAGGCGGTGGCTTTACCTGCTATTCCACAGTGCAAGGCTCATTCCCAACCACTTTCTGTCTCTCCTCAAAGTACTCAGTGCCTTCTCGCTTATCTCAGACGGGGACAGCGACACACATTAACCCTTAAGCAGCTGGATCTCAGCCCGGGGGAAAGGGGTCTGCTGTTGGAGACAGAGACTCTTGTCCTGAGTCTGTGGGCCCAGACTCCATCAGGCTGATCAGAGGCTGTGCCTGCCTGCAGGGTGTGTAACCTTGTGGAGGCGACCAGTACGGGGCAGAAGCTCAGGTGGTGGTTTTTATCCTCAGCGTCTGATTCCACACTTGTTCTCCATCACAGCACAACTAGGACTATTTGTGAATGACCTGGATGGGTGCAGGAGGGCAGGCAGTCGCCAGCGCTGCTTCTAGGTTTCTGCTGTTTAATCTTCTTCAAAGGAAGTTGTTGTGTTTGCAGTTGGGTGCATCATGTAGAAAACCAGTAGAAGATGTGAGTAGGGGTGAGCACTCAGGCGTGACAATCCGAGCCACTGCAGCCCATTGCAGCTTGTTGATGTAAAGATTCAGGCTGGGAGAAGAGCCACCTGCATTTTCTTAAATAATGAACCCATAATAAGGCTGACCCTCAGTCTCCCTGGGGGATTGGTTCCAGGAGCCCTCCCCCGCCCCCTGCAACAGATACCCAAATCCATGGATGCTCAAGTCCCTTCTATGGAATGGCCTGGAATTTGCGTACAAGCAGCTTAATGCCATTAAATACTCTAGAGATGAAACTTAAATCACCTCTGCAGTAGTTGCAAAGCCTAAAACAATTTAAAGAGTCATTTAAGGACTAGGGAAAAGGAAAAAAAAAAAAACAGTCTATGTGTATTCAATGCAGACGCAATTTCTTCAAATAATTGTTTGATCCAAAGTTGGTTGAAGCCACAGAGGTGGAACCTGTATGTATGGAGACCTGACTATGTCTGTGTTCTTGTTGATACATATACATGGATTTACACATACATGTCAGGGGTGCAGTGGGTTCAGCCTCTGCTTATGATACAGGCATCCCATCCACAAGTGCAGGTTTGAGTCCCGGCTGTTCACATTCCGGTTTAGTTAATGTGCCTAGAAAAGACAGCGGATGATGCTCCATTAGACTCCTGCCACCCACATCAGAAACCCAGATAGAGTTTCTGGCTCCCAGCTTTGGCATGGTTCAGCTCTGGCTGTTGTGGCCACTTGGGGAGTGAACCAACAGATAGAAGATCTCTCTCTCTCTCTCTCTTTCACTTTATCTCTTCCTCCTCTCCCTCTGTCATTCTGCCCTTCAAATAAAATAAAATTTTTCATTAAATATTTATTTATTTATTTGAAAGTCAGAGAGAGGAGAGGCAGAGAGAGAGAGAGAGGGAGAGAGGGAGAGAGACAGGGAGAGAGAGAGAGGTCTTCCATCCGATGGTTCACTCCCTAGTTGGCCGCAATGGCTGGAGCTGTGCTGATCCAAAGCCAGGAGCCAGGAGCTTCTTCCATGCCTCCCACATGGGTGCAGGGGCCCAAGGACTTGGGCCATCTTCTACTGCTTTCCCAGGCCACAGCAGAGAGCTTGATTGGAAGTGGAGCATCCGGGTCTCGAACTGGTGCCCATATGGGATGCCGGTACTTCAGGCCAGGGCGTTAATCCACTACGCCACAGCACTGGCCCCAATAAATAAAATTTTTAAAAAGCTCATGGAAAATTAAAGTGAAAGGTGATGCACATTTTTGAAGCATCTCAGACATATACATAGATATATTTATATATAATTATTTGATTTATTTGAAAGGCAGAGTTACAGAGAGATAGAGACAGAAAGAGAGATCTTCCATCCACTGGTTCACTCCCCAGATGGCTGCAACGGCCAGAGCAGCCAGAGCTAGGCTGGTCTGAAGCCAGGAGCCAGGAGCCCCATCCGGTTCTCCCACGTGGATGCAGGGGTCCAAGTTCTTGGGCCATCCTCTGCTGCTTTCCCAGGCACGTTAGCAGGGATCTGGATCAGAAGTGGACCAGCTGGGACTTGAACTGGCACTGATTTGGGATGCTGATACTGCAGGCTGTGGCTTAACCTGCTATGCCATAGCTCCAGCCCTGAGGATTTCTGGGTTTGATACCACACTTTTTCCACTACATCATATTTTCTGAATATGTTGCCACAGAAATATTTGTGCTAGGAAACATTGGCTAAATTTTGCCTTTAATTTTGTTTTAATTTTGCCTGATAAGGAGGTAGAACTTGGTCTCTTTATATTTTTAACTTATCTGCTTCAATTTTATTGGGTATTACTTATATTTTGTGCAAGTGGCTTTTCTGGTTGGCAGCATTTGTTGTTCTTGTTTTTTGTTTCATCTCTTATTGGGAATATACATGGATATAGAACTTTTTCATATATTTTTTTTGACAGGCAGAGTGGACAGTGAGAGAGAGAGAGACAGAGAGAAAGGTCTTCCTTTTGCCATTTGTTCACTCTCCAATGGCTGCTACAGCCAGTGTGCTGCGGCTGGCGCACCGCGCTGATCTGAAGCCAGGACCCAGGTACTTCCTCCTGGTCTCCCATGTGGGTGCAGGGCCCAAGTACTTGGGCCATCCTCCACTGCCCTCCTGGGCCACAGCAGAGAGCTGGACTGGAAGGGGGGCAACCGGGACAGAATCTGACGCCCCGACCAGGACTAGAACTCGGTGTGCTGGCGCCCCAGGCAGAGAATTAGCCTAGTGAGCCACAGCACCAGCAACTTTTTCATATTTAAATTTTTAAGCAATTCATTTGAAAAGCAAAGACACACTGAGAGAAAGACAGACACAGAGACGTTTCCTTTCACTACTTCATTCCCCAAATGCCCACAACAGGCAGGGTGGGGCTAGATCAAAGCCAGGAGCTATTGTGAATTGAGCGGCAATAAACATTAAGGTGCAGACTGTTTTTTTTTTTTTTTTTTGTTTGTTTGCCAATTTAATTTCCTTTGGGTGAATTCCAAGGAGTGGGATGGCTGGGTTGAACGGTAGGGTTATCTTCAGGTTTCTGAGGAATCCCCAGACTGACTTCCATAGTGGCTTGACCAGTTTGCATTCCCACCAACAGTGGGTTAGTGTCCCTTTTTCCCCACATCCTCGCCAGCATCTGTTGTTGGTAGATTTCTGTGTGTGAGCCATTCTCACCGGAGTGAGGTGGAACCTCATTGTGGTTTTGATTTGCATTTCCCTGATTGCTAGTGATCTTGAACATTTTTTCATGTGCTTGTTGGCCATTTGGATTTCCTCTTTTGAAAAATGTCTATTGAGGTCCTTGGCCCATCTCTTAAGTGGGTTGCTTGTTTTGTTGTTGTGGAGTTTCTTGATCTCTTTGTAGATTCTGCTTACTAATCCTTTATCTGTAGCATAGTTTGCAAATATTTTTTCTCATTCTATCGGTTGCCTCTTCACTCTCCTGACTGTTTCTTTTGAAGTACAGAAACTTCTCAATTTGGCTTTGACTGCCTGTGCCTCCAAGGTCTTTTCTAGGTAGTCTTTGCCAGTGCCAATATCTTGCAGAGTTTCTCCAATGTTCTCTAATAATTTGATGGTATCGGATTGTAGATTTAGGTATTTAATCCATGTTGAGTGGATTTTTGTGTAAGGTGTAAAGTAGGGGTCTTGCTTCATGCTTCTGCACGTGGAAATCCAGTTTTCCCAGCACCATTTATTGAATAGACTGTCCTTGCTCCAGGAATTGGTTTGAGATCCTTGATCAAATATAAGTTGGCTGTAGATGTTTGGATTGATTTCTGGTGTTTCAATTCTGTTCCATTGGTCTCTCCATCTGTTTCTGTACCAGTACCATGCTGTTTTGATTACAACTGCCCTGTAGTATGTCCTGAAATCTGGTATTGTGATGCCTCCGGCTTTGTTTTTGTTGTACAAGATTGCTTTAGCTATTCGAGGTCTCTTGTGCCTCCATATGAATTTCAGCATCATTTTTTCTAGATCTGAGAAGAATGTCTTTGGTATCCTGATTGGTATCGCAATGAATCTATAAATTGCTTTTGGGAGAATGGACATTTTGATGATATTGATTCTTCCAATCCATGAGCATGGAAGATTTTTCCATTTTTTGGTATCCTCTTCTATTTCTTTCTTTAGGATTTTGTAATTCTCATCATAGAGATCTTTAACGTCCTTGGTTAAGTTTATTCCAAGGTATTTGATTGTTTTTGTAGCTATTGTGAATGGGATTGATCTCAGAAGTTCTTTCTCAGCCATGGTATTGTCTGTGTATACAAAGGCTGTTGATTTTTGTGCATTGATTTTATATCCTGCTACTTTGCCAAACTCTTGTATGAGTTCCAATAGTCTCTTAGTAGAGTTCTTTGGATCCTCTAAATAAAGAATCATATCGTCTGCAAAGAGGGATAGTTTGACTTCTTCCTTCCCAATTGTATCCCTTTAATTTCTTTTTCTTGCCTGATGGCTCTGGCTAAAACTTCCAGAACTATGTTAAATAGCAGTGGTGAGAGTGGGCATCCCTGTCTGGTGCCAGATTTCAGTGGAAATGCTTCCAACTTTTCCCCATTCAATAGGATGCTGGCCATGGGTTTTTCATAAATTGCTCTGATTATATTGAGGAATGTTCCTTCTTTACCCAGTTTGTTTAGAGTTTTCATCATGAAAGGGTGTTGAATTTTATCGAATGGTTTCTCTGAATCTATTGAGATAATCATATGGTTTTTCTTCTGCAGTTTGTTATTGTGATGTATCACATTGATTAATTTGCAAACATTGAACCATCCCTGCATACCAGGGATGAATCCCACTTGGTCTGGGTGGATGATCTTTCTGATGTGTTGTTGTATTCTATTGGCGAGAATTTTATTGAGGATTTTTGCATCTATGTTCATCAGGGATATTGGTCTGTAATTTTCTTTCAATGCTGCATCTTTCTCTGGCTTAGGGATTAAGATGATGCTGGCTTCATAGAAAGAATTTGGGAGGATTCTATCTTTTTCGATTGCTCTGAATAGTTTGAGAAGAATTGGAATTAGTTATTCTTTAAATGTCTGGTAGAATTCAGCAGTGAATGCATCTGGTCCTGGGCTTTTCTTTGTTGGGAGGGCCTTTATTACTGTTTCAATTTCTGTTTCAGTTATGGGTCTATTTAGGTTTTCTATGTCTTCATGGTTCAATTTAGGTAGATTACATGTGTCCAAGAATCTATCCATTTCTGATAGATCTTCCTGTTTGCTGGCATACAAGTCCTTGTAGCAATTTCTGATGATTCTTTTTATTTCTGTGGTGTCTGTTGTTACGTTTCCTTTTTTAGCTCTGATTTTATTGATTTGGGTTTTTTCTCTTCTTTTTTTAGTTAGTTGGGCCAATGGGGTGTTAATTTTGTTTATTTTTTCAAAAAACCAGTTCTTTGCTTGGCTGATTTTTTGCAATGTTTTTTGGATTCAATCCTGTTGATTTCTTCTCTGATTTTAATTATTTCTCTTCTCCTACTAGATTTGGGTCTGGTTTGCTGCAGTTTTTCTAGATCCTTGAGATGCATTGAAAGCCCATTTATTTGGTGCCTTTCCAATTTCTTGATGTAGCACCTATTGCTATAAACTTTCCTCTCAACAATGCTTTTACCGTATCCCATAAGTTTTGATATGTTGTGTTGTTATCCTTGTGGTTCCCTTGCCTGCAAAGGAACAACACTGCTCCCAGCTGATCAGTCTTCAGTAGACTTTTATTTAAACAGGATAGAAAAAGAAACCCTTGAGCAAGGGGAGCTCCGAAAGGAAGGGGAAGCTCCCGTACCATATCACAAACAGCTTATATAGCATAACATTGCAGAAGCATGTAATGCAAGCTTAGTCCATGCTACAGTCCATGCGGCGGTGTTCCAATCGGGTGCCTGATCATGCACAGTCCATGCGTTCCTTGTCCAACCATAAAGGTGATCATGCGCCTTCATCCAATCAAGCAGGCGACTCGGGTGCTAACAACAAGCTTCCACCTGGTGTTTTCTCAGCCTTGGTCAGTGGGAAAAGAAGTATGGGAAGCCCCAAGGCCATAGTTGTTTTGACTCTAGCCTGGGGTTATGAAACGGTCCCTATATCGCAGCTCAACAGAAACCATAAACATCCACACAGCAGTAACTAATGCCAATGATCAGCAAGCCAAGCCTTAGCATGTGGGCCCATGGCCAGCCATGGGTCCCCACAATCCTCAATTACTTCCAGAAAGTTTTTGATTTCTCTTTTGATTTCTTGAATGACCCAGTGTTCATTCAGGAGTATGTTGTTCAGTCTCCATGTGTTTGCATACTCTCTAGGGATTCCTGAGTTGCTAATTTCCACCTTCATTCCACTGTGGTCTGAGAAGCTGCATGGTATGATTCTAATTCTTTTAAATTTGCTGAGACTTGCTTTATGGCCTAGTATGTGATCAATCCTAGAGAAGGTTTCAATGTAGGATTGAAAGTTCTGTAGATATCTGTTAGATCCATTTGGGCAATAGTGGCGATTAAATCTGCTGTTTCCTTGTTGATCTTCTGTCCGGATGATCTGTCTATTTCTGAGAGTGGAGTATTGAAGTCCCCCAGTACTATTGTATTGGAGTCTAAGTCTCCCTTTAAGTCTCTTAACATACCTTTTAAATAAACTGGTGCCCTGTAATTAGGTGCATATACGTTTATAATAGTTACATCTTCCTGTTGAATTGAACCCTTAATCATTATATAGTGCCCCTCTTTGTCTCTCTTAACAGTTTTTGTGTTAAAGTTTATTTTGTCTGATATTAATATAGCTACACCTGCTTTTTTTTCATTTCTGTTGGCATCGAATATCTTTTTCCAACCTTTCACTTTCAGTCTGTATGCATCTTTGTTGGAAAGATGTGTTTCTTTTAGGCAGCAAATAGATGGGTTTTGTTCCTTAATCCATTCAGCCAGTCTATGCCTTTTAACTGTAGAGTTGAGTCCATTAACATTCAATGTGACTAGGCAGAGGCTGGGGGGCTCAGCTCCTGTTGGTAATTGCCCTGCTGCTTCTACCAGCAGGAAGCTGAACCCAGGCACTCTGATGGGGGATGTGGGAGTCTGCAGCTGCATCTTACCCACTGTGCCAAACGCCTGGCCCAGGATGATCTTAAACAAGAATATCAACTGCTGTAGCATGCAGGGGGTAGGTCTTTATTTATTTATTTGAAGATTTTTAAGGGTTTCTCAGGGGAACTTTCCATGGCCATCCCAAGAGACAAAGGCAAAGTCAATAGTCCCTCATCCAAGCCCTCATACTCAAGCCTTGTGGTTTTCTGAGCTGGCCATTGACCTACTGTCATTTTAGTACTATCTCAGATTACACAAACAACAGTGTTGACACAACAGATATCACGTGCCCCACCCACTTGTTCCTATTCCTCCATGTAATTTGTCCCACCCATGGCTGGGGCATTTCCTTTCTTGTAATCTTTTTTTTTAAAGATTATTTATTTATTTGAGAGAGTTACAGACAGTGAGAGTGAGGAGAGGGAGAGAGAGAGACAGAGAGAGAGGTCTTCCTTCTGCTAGTTCACTCCCTAAATGGGTGCAACAGCCAAAGCTGGGCCAATCTGAAGCCAGGAGCCAGGAGCTTCTTCCAGGTTCCCATGCGAGTGCAGGTCCCAAGGACTTGAGCCATCTTCTACTGCTTTCCCAGGCCATAGCAGAAAGCTGGATTGGAAGAGGAGCAGCCTGGACTAGAACTGGCACCCATATGGGATACTGGCACTGCAGGCAGAGGATTAACCTACTGTGCTAGAGCGCCGGCCCCCTTTTCTTGCAGTCTTAGAAATGCCTCAAGTGTTACACACTGCGATCATTTGCTTACAACCCTTGCCCCAGGCCACAGTCTTCATCACTGCAGAGCTGGGGACAGAGCAGTGGGCATGAACCATGAGACAGGGAAGGTGTGGGGGGGGGAGTGACTGCTCCTTCCTGCACTTGTTTGTTGGCAGGGCTGAGATGGGGTCTCCACCACAGCCTATGATCTTGTCCTCACCATTGTCACAAAAACTTAAAAGGGACATATTTTTGTTTTTCACACCAGAACCACTGCCATTTGTGTAACAGGAAGGAAAATGCTATCCAAGATTGGTCCCATTTCCTGGATGCTGGCAGGGGCTCATTGTGTCCTGACTGTGAAAATCTGGATTTTCATGCTCTCAGCTGATCCTGCAGTCCAGAGACACAGAAGAGGCTGAGGCCAGGGCAGGTGAGGGTGGGGGGAGCAGAGCAGGTGCAGGAAGCAGATTTGCATGGAAGTCCCGCCCTTTTCTGATGCAGGGCGGGGGAAATATAATGGGTGTGAGGGAACCATGCCCACTACTGGGGCTCAGGAGGCAGCTCTGGGGGCATAGCACCATGGCCTGGGCTCTGCTCCTCCTCACCCTCCTCACTCAGGACACAGGTGACCTCCAGGGGAGGGCCCGGGGACAGCTGGGCTGATGCTGTGTCTGCTGCTGCCCAGGCTCCCCTGGCCCAGCCCTGACTCACAGAGTGTGCTTCTCCCTCTGCAGGGTCCTGGGCCCAGCCTGCCCTCACTCAGCCATCCTCAGCGTTTGGAGCTCTGGGCGGCTCGGTCACCATCTCCTGCACTGGGACCAGCGATGATGTGGGATATACTAATGCTGTGTACTGGTACCGGCAGCTCCCAGGAATGAGCCCCACACTCCTGATTTATTATGACAGCAAGCGGCCATCAGGGATCCCTGAGCGCTTCTCTGGCTCCAAGTCGGGCAACACAGCCTCCCTGACCATCTCGTGGCTGCAGCCTGAGGACGAGGCTGCCTATTACTGTAGTTCATATAGAAATCCTAACACTCTCCACAGTGGTACAAGTTCATGGGGAAGTGAGACAAAAACCTGCCCTGAGCTGACAGCTCCCTCCCTGCTCTGAAAATGCTTCCTCGCCCTGTGCAGAGGGGGCTGCCGGCACCAGGGCGTGGCCCTGATAATTCAGTGTCCCAATGCCCTCTGCTCTCCCTCATCATTAAATCCAAAGCAGCCATGCCTGTGGGTGATCATCTGTACATAATGACACTTCCTCTGTGTGTGTGGCATTGTTCTAAATGTGCACGTTTTCCCAGGCCTCCAGGGGCAGACACGAGGGAGACAGAGACCTGGCACAGACCTTCCATAACTCAGCTTTCTGCACCATTGTGGCTCTGGGACAGTCAGTCACCATCTCCTGCACTGGGCTGAGCAGGAGGTACAATGATGTGCATTGGTAGCAAAGGAATCCAGGCGCTCCTCCCAAGGTCCCAGTTTAATCACCCGGCCATGTGGTCATTTGGGGAGTGAAGCAGCAGATGGAAAATCTCTCTCTCACTCATCCTCTCCCTCTCTCCCTCTCCTTCTCCCTCTCTCCTCCTTCTCTCCTTCCTGCCCTCTCTCCCTACCCTCCCCTCTCTCCCTCTTCCTCTTTCTATCACTCTGCCTTTTCAATAAAAGCAATACATATTTTTTAAAAAGATTTATTTTGTTTATTTGAAAGGCAGAGTTAGAGAGAGAGAGAGAGAGAGAGAGAGAGAGAGAAGCCTTCCATCCACTGGTTCACTCCTGAAATGACAGCGGCAGCCAGAGCGGAGCTGATCCAAAGCCAGGAGACTCCTCTGGATCACCCATGGGTGCAGGGGCCCAAGGACTTGGGCCATCTTGTACTGCTTTCCCAGGCCATAACAGAGAGCCAGACCGGAAGTGGAACAACTGGGACTCGAACCGGTGCCCATATGGGAAGCCAGCGCTGCAGGCCAGGGCTTTAACCCGCAGCGCCACAGCACCGGCCCCAGCAATACATCTTTTTAATAAATTTCTGAGGCCTGTTCTGTGATGTAGTGGGTGAAGCATCCACCTGGAGCATTGTTATCCCATATGGGCGCTGGTTTGAGACCTGGCTGCTCCACTTCCAAACCAGCTCTCTGTGTATGGTCTGGAAGAACAGTGGAAGATGACCAAGTGTTTGGGCCCTGAACCTACAAGGGAGATCCAGAAGATGCTCCTGGCTTCGGATCAGCCCAGTTCTGGCTGTCACGGCCACTTGGGGACTGAACCAGTGAATGGAACACTTCCCCTCTCTCCTTCTCTCTCCCTCTCTGTAACTCTGACTCTCCAAGAAAAAACAACTTTCAAAAAAAGATCTATTTCATTTTGAATGAAGTTCCTGAAAGAGTCTCCTATTAATGCTATTAATGCCATAATTCTGTGACCACAGGCCGACAGGCCCCTCCTCGTGACGCCCACAGCACCAGCTCTGCCTGGACGCCTCGTCCACAGAGGTCTCTGCTTTACCCTCTGCAGAGAATGAGCCAGGCAGGGACCAGCTGGTCCACACAGCCATGGAGGGAGGTGGGGGTGCAGGTGCAGCTGCCATGTAGGAGGCTTCGTCCCCATTGTCTCAGCGGCCTCTTTGCCTCCTTTACTTCCTTGCTGAGAAGGGGAAGTGGCCATCTCTGTGGGACTCTCCTCTCCAGGAGCCAGTCTGACCTCACTGTAGAATCCCTGTTGCAATGCATGCCTTGGTGCACAGGCAGGAACAGCTGAGCTGGGATTTGGGGCACAGCAGAGTGAGGCTGGCTTGATAGGGGCTGGGTACCTGGGGAACCAGGAGACACCTTCTTCCTGGAGGAAGCCAGACACAGAGGGAATCAGCGTTGAATGGTCCCAAAGGGACCAGGGCGGCTCGGGCACTGTCCCGGGTTGAGGCAGTAGGTGGGAGTAGAAGAGAGTGGTATGGTCAGGATTTGCAGGAACCACTGAGGTGCACTCCTGGGTTCAGTGTCCTATAGGTGGCCACCAGGGGGCAGCAAGCGCCTGCACTTGGGGAGTTGTATGCTGGGGTTTACCCTGCTCTGTCTGACACCCCAGAACTGCTTCCTCCTGAGACCCCCACCCTCCCAATGGAGCCATGAATCACATTGGTCCCCATTCACTCTTCCTGGTGCCTCACTCTCTAGAAACAACCACCGATTACTCAGGCTGCATCCAGAGTGCACTGAGGGGCCTGGGACAGGCAGGTGCCCACGAACTGATCTTCACTGAGAGAGATCACAGGGTTTAGTGTGGGTTTCCTACCATGTGTTCTGGCCACAGCACATCAGACAGCTGGATCTTATCAGAAACCCTGGGCCCATTACTGACTGCAGTCCAAGGACACACACGGGGGAAGTGCCGGTCTCCTCTGTGTGCAGCCTGTGTGGCGCCCCCAGCAGGCAGGGAAGGAGCAGCCCACTCCAGGCTCCTGGTGCTGGCACAGCCACGGGTGCAGCCTCCTGTGAGTCAGGAACTGCAGCTGGGCGAGTTCCTGTCCTCAGCTGAGCGCTGAGCAGGGCACAGGAGAACTCAGAGTCCAGGGAGGGGAGTGGAGCCAGCAGAGGAGGGCAGGCTGCTGATTTGCATGGAGGCCCCGCCCACTTCGATGCAGGGGAGGGGATAAAAGTCAGGTGTGAGGGAGCCATGCCAGTGCTGGGGCTCAAGAGGCAGTTCTGGGGGTGTCTGCACCATGGCCTGGGCTCTGCTCCTCCTCACCCTCCTCACTCAGGACACAGGTGACCTCCAGGGGAGGGCCCGGGGACAGCTGGGCTGATGCTGTGTCTGCTGCTGCCCAGGCTCCCCTGGCCCAGCCCTGACTCACAGGGTGTGCTTCTCCCTCTGCAGGGTCCTGGGCCCAGCCTGCCCTCACTCAGCCGTCCTCGGTGTCTGGGGCTCTGGGCGGCTCAGTCACCATCACCTGTGCTGGAAGCAACAGTGACATTGGGTACAACAGCCTCATCTCCTGGTACCAACAGCTCCCAGGTTCAGTCCCCAAACTCCTGATGTTTAGAGTTGATAGGCTTGCCTCAGGGATCCCTGAGCGCTTCTCTGGCTCCAAGTCTGGCACTACGGCCTCCCTGACCATCTCAGGGCTGCAGCCTGAGGACAAGGCTGACTATTACTGTGTCTCTTATACAAGCAGTCGCACTTCCCACAGTGCTGCAATTACATGGGGAAGTGAGACGAAAACCTGCCCTGAGCCGACAGCTCCCTCCTTGCCCTGTAGATTCCTCCCCCGTCCTAGTCATATCCACCCTGCGCTGCTGTGTCCATGTCAGGGTTAACCTGGGGAAGTTCTGCCACACTGAGAAGAGGTGGGGTTTCCCCTGCCATTCCTGGGCCAAATATCAGCTGTTCTAGGAGTGTGAGTGTGTGTGTGTGTGCATGTGTGTGTGTGTGGATTCTTTCATTATCCCTGGATCTGCTCAACACTGGGATCTGCTGTGACAGAAATGAGACACTGGGGATCCCTAAGCGAAGCAGCAGCACCACGTTTCCTCCTGCACAAAGCAGCCGTGGCTGCAGGGCCCATGCTGGTGGGGAGGCAGAGGTCCCTGAGTCCCAGGGCACGGCCGGGGCGGAGCAGACTGGGGAGGGCTGACCAAGGCCGCCTGTTCAGAGAGCAGCCAAGTAAACAGAGAGCATAACAAACATGGAAGAGTCTCCTTTAGGATTTTGTGGGGTGACCAAGAGGGGATAGAAATGATATCAATGTCAAGTTTATGGTCTGGGGGAGCTCACTCCTGCTGCTCAGGTTCTGCCCCCGATGTCCTCACACATCTGCCTACAGCGACGCTCACTGCAGCACAGGGACCCTCAGCACTTTCATGAATCAGTCACCTGGGTGTCAGTGGTGGCACTTGGGGCCTCGGGGAGCTGGGTCCCACTCGGAGGAGGGGTCTCTGCAGATGCACACACAGAGTGTGTGTCTGACTCCCGTGAAGAATAGGCTGCCCTGTAGGATGGCTTCGTCCCCACTGCCCCCAACACTTCTCTTTCCTCTTTGCGTCGATGCTGGATTCACCAGGTTTCTGTCCACAGCAGCGGGATGGGGCTGATTGCTGCCTGATTAGCACGACGGCTGCTGTGATCCATGGAGGTGGGGACAGAGGGGAAGGAAGGCGAGGGGACTCAGTGTCTGGGGCTCTGAGCGGCTCGGTAACCATCACCTAAACTGGAACCAGCAATGACATTGGTGGTTATAATGATGTCTCCTGGCGTCAGCAGATCCCAGGAAGCAGCCCCAAGACCATGATCTATGCTGTCAGTACTCGGCCCTCAGGTTTCCCCGAGCGCTTTTCTGGCTCCAAGTCTGGCACCACGGCCTCCCTGACCATCTCGGAGCTGCAGCCTGAGGATGAGGCTGACTATTTCTGCAGCTCATACACGAATACCTACAATCTCCACAGTGGTGAAAGGGCACGGGGAAGTGAGACCAAAGCCTGCCCTGAGCCCACAGCTCCCTCCTTGCTCTGATGCTGCTCCCCCCCCCCCCAGTGTGCAGAGGGGGCTGCAGGCACCCTGACCTTGGCCTCCAATTCTGCTCCAGCTTCTCTCCACATGGTCTCCACAGGAGACTCTTTCATGGTCACTGAGTGTGGAGAGTGACGTCTTCCTGTTTGTCTCCCTGGACCCTGGGCAGGCGGCCGTGCTCTGCCCTCCCCAGGCTGTGAGGGCACTGGCAGGGCTCTGGGACCCAGGTCCTCTGTGTCCTCATCAGCATGGGCCCTGCCCCATGGCTGCTTTGTGCATGAGGGAACACCTGGCGCTTCTGCTCCTTCCTGAGGGATCCCCAGTGTCTCACACATATCCTAGAAGACCCCACTGTTGAGCAGACATCCAGGTATAAAAATGAGTTCTCTCTCCCTCCCTCCTTCTCTCCATCCCCACCCCCCCACACGCACTCACACACTCCTTGAACAGCTGACTTACGGTCCACGAATGACAGAGAAAACCCAGCTCTTCCCAAAGTGCAGAACTTTCGAGTTTAACCCTGACATGGCCACGGTGGCACAGGATGGTCGGGCACCGACTGTTAGATCCCCCTTTCTATCAGATTCTCCAACACACCCTGCCCCGACATTCTCACCAATTCTTTCTGCTGTGAAATTCATTGTCCCACAGGGACAGTCAGTGCTCATGAGTAATCGCCTGGGCGGGAATGGTGGCACCAAACCCTCATAGAGCAGGGAGTCCCGTCCTGAGCTCCCCGGTTCTGTGTGAGGCTGAGCAGGGGCGGGGCTGTCTGTGAGCTGAGAGTCCTTGACTGCTGGCTTTCCCCTCCCAAGTGGCCTTTGCATCTTTTCCACCTGCTGCCTTCCTTGGCCAGGTCCTGCTTGGAGGTGCGCGTAAGACTGTGGTCCCCATGGTCTCAGGTCCACCAGAGCAGCAGGAGAGGGCTGTGTCTGGTGATGGTTCTTAGTTTTCCTATTGGTTCATTTGTGGATTTTGAATGTTGTGGTTCTACCACATCCACAAGCACACACACGGGCACTGTCTTCTCCCCTTTCTCCTTTGGTGTTGCATCAGAATCATGTCTACCTCCACTTTTATTCTCAGTCCCCGTTCTGTGTACTTAACACAAACATTAGGTATAGCTGTGGATTTGTTCTGAGAGGAGGAGTGCAGTGGGGGCAATAGGCGTGGAGTCACCACACAGACCCTGGGAGTAGGGTGACAGCCGGCCAGAGGTGAGCAGCCCACAGACTCGTTTATTTCACGTGGTACAGCAACTCAAATAGCCAAGGCAGCCAATCTGGTCAAGGGGCGGTTTATGACCTAACCAATCACAGCCTGTTGCCAGGCAGTTTCCAAAGCCATCCAATCACAGCCTGTTGCCAGGCAGTCTCTGTTACCAGCAGCTATCTTGGCATGGCCTTCTCATTCCACCACATTAGGTAGCTCTTATGTTAAGGTCTTGAATTTACTTTATTATGGAGCAGTCACATCTAAAGAGCTTAGTGCCAGTGCTATTTGAAAGGAGGACTTAGTGAGAGAGCAAGGAGGACTTAGTGAGAGAGAGCTCTTCCCCACTGGTTCAAGTCCACTTGTCTGTAACAGCCCACAGGGGCAGGACAAGCCACAGATCTCCATCCTGGACTGCAGCAGGTGTGGTAGCGGCCGTCATCTGCCCCCTTCCCAGGCCCAGATCTGCATCAGGAGCAGAGTGGCTGGGAGCTGAGCCAGCGATCATGAATGAGAGGCCAGCAAGCAGACCATGGCTTAGCCTTCCAGGTCTCAGCACCTGACTCTCTGAGCTTGATTCTGGGACTAACAGAACTCACAGGAAAGGAAGGTGGCCCTGCATGAGGCCGAGAGATCTCCCTGCAGGGACGGCCTGGCTGTCTGCTCTGTGCTCAGGGCCTTTCCACAGCCGTCCCAGGGACAACGTCAAAGTCACTGCCCCCATCCAGGCCCCGCACCCAGCGTGGGGGTTTCCTGAGCAGGGCATTGAACTGTGACTGTGTTGGTGTGATCCAAACTCCAGACACTCACCCACACTGATGGCTGAAATAACCCAGCACCTGTGGCATTCCAGCAGTCAGGGACCCACAGCTGCCATTGTCCTACCCCTGTTCCTGCTCCTCTAGCCTCCATGGTCACCATCAGCTTGTCCACCACATTGGCTGGGGCGTCCCTCTTTGTGCTCTTAGAAACGTCTCGTGGGCAGTGGACATGGACACTGCCATCATTTCCTCACGATGTCCACTCCCGTGGAACCCTCAAGCAGAAATGAGCCCCCTCCCTTCCCCACAGCCTCACACACTGCCTCCCCTCCTGCCTTCCTTTGGGTCCTCCTGAGCTGTCTCGCCCCCAGCACCCTCTCTCTCTCAGTGTTGGGAGAGGTCCCACCCCCTCACTTGGCCCCTCCCACATTCAGCCTCCCAGGGAGGTTGGACTTCAGGGTCCTCTGCCAGTTCCTCCTCCATAATCTCAGACTCCCCTCAGGGGCACAGACCTGGGACCCCTGCTTGGAGGGGAGGATCTGGGACCTGGGCAGGCAGCAGCCACCTTCCATCCTGGAGGAGGCCAGAGGACAGAGGGGAGGCTGGGGTGGCTCAGGAAGGAGCAGGGGCCTGTCCTGGGCTGGGAGGAAGGAGGAGGGAAGGAACAGAGCAGGGATTTCCACCCCACTCAGCTGCCCTCCCAGGGGCAGGGGAAACCTCGCTGGGTGACCACCAGGGGGCAGCAGGGGACTTCATGGGGAAGTGGCTCCTGTGGTTCACCTTGCCCTTTAGAGACCAGGAGTTCTCCTGAGCCCTCCAAAGGGTAAGGAGGGAACAGGACCCCCAAATCTCTTCTGTCCCAATAAGTTCCTGCCCTAAGAAAACAAAACCCAGCCAACAGCCACATCTAGGTCAGTGCAGAGGTGGGGACAGAGCAGTGGGTGTGAACCCATCCTGCCTGGGGAGACAGGAAGAGTGGAGGGGGATTGACTGCTCCTTCCTGCATGTGTGTGCTGGCAGAGCTGAGACGGGGCCCCTCCAGCACCTTTGACCCTGTGCGCCTCAACGTCACAAAATACTCAAAGAGAAATCGCTTGTTTTTCTACCAGGATCAAAGCCTTCCCTGGACTAGGAAGGAAAAGGACCCCCCAAGGCTGGACCCACCTCCCCGATGCTGCCAGGGCACATTGTGTCCTGACTCAGGAGCTCCATGTCACAGGGACTCCACGCCCTCAGCTCACCCTGCAGCCAGGGCACAGAAGCATCAAGGGTCAGAGCAGGTGGGAGTGGGAGGGGCAGAGGCAGGAGCAGAAGCAGACTTGCATAGAAGCCCCCCCTCCTTCCAGTGGGGTGGGGCATAAGAGAGCTCTGGGGCAGCAGGCTCAGTGCTGGGGCTCAGGAGGCAGCTCTGGGGGCGTCTGCACCATGGCCTGGGCTCTGCTCCTCCTCACCCTCCTCACTCAGGACACAGGTGACCTCCAGGGAAGGGCCCGGGGACAGCTGGGCTGATGCTGTGTCTGCTGCTGCCCAGGCTCCCCTGGCCCAGCCCTGACTCACAGAGTGTGCTTCTCCCTCTGCAGGGTCCTGGGCCCAGCCTGCCCTCACTTAGCCGCCCTCAGCGTCTGGGGCTCTGGGCAGTTCCCTCACCATCCCCTGCACTGGAACCGTCTTTGACATTGGATATACTAGTGCTGTCTCTTGG